GTTTAAAAAAGGCACGATCTACACAGCCTAAAGATGACTAGGTTTTAAAAAGGCACAATCTACACAGCCTAAAAATGACTGGTTTTAAAAAGGCACAATCTACACAGCCTAAAAATGACTAGTGAGGCAGCAAGTGCTGACAAGGAGGCAGCAGCAGCGTATCTACCAGTTCTAAAAGATATTATTGAACAAGAAGGATGCACGACCCGTCACGTTTTCAATGTTGACGAGACTGATCTGTATTGGAAGAAGGTGCCAAACAGGACAGTCTTGTCAAGGGAAGAGAAGTCAACACCAGGTCACAAAGCTTTCAAAGACAGAGATCTCCCTAATTCTGAGAGGCAATACAGAGGGTGATTTCAAGTTGAAACCCCTTATGATTCACAATTCTGGGAATCCACGGGCACTTAAGTGGTACATCAAGACCAATCTGCCAATCATTTGGAGGTCCAACAAGAAAGATTGGTTTCACCAACTTTTTTCTGCCCTACAATGTAGAGATATTTTTTCTATGAAAAATCTTTCCCATAAAGCACTACTGCTTGTCAACAATGCACCAAGCTACCCTATTAGCCTAACCAACCTAACTGACTTATCAACAAACATTCATGCGGAGTTTCTTCCCCCAAACACCACTTCTTTGATCCAACCATAGCTACTTTTAAAGCATATTACTTAAGACGCATCTTCAGACAAATGATCAGGGCAGTGGACAGAAACACCTCGATCAGAGATTTCTGGATATCTTTCAACATCAAGGACGCCATAGACAACATAACAGAGTCTTGGAAGGAAGTTACCACCTCAAATATGAAGGGAATTTGAAGAAAACTGTGGCCAGAATGTGTGCACGATTTTCAAGGCGTCCTTAATACAGAACCTGTTGTTAAAGAAATCGTGTCATTAGCACCTCAGGTTGGGTTTAACGGAACTGAAAAACAAAACATCGATGACTTACTAGCATCACACCATTCAGAAAGAGACTTGAAACAAGTTGTATTGAGAAAGAATAAACTAGTTTTATTTAAGAAAGGACTTGTATCGCTAAAGTTTCTTCGGAAAGAATTTTTACGGAAAATTAACTAACGACCAGAGACGTAACAATACTAAAAGAGAGGGCGCCTGGAATAGACTAGAGTTGCCAGGAAAAGTCATGACCCTTCTAGAAACTCCAGCGCGCATGCTCCTTCGCGTGACTTCCGCTGTCGTAACACTGTCTTAAAATCCTTCTTCACAGATTTTTAAAGGGATTACTTATATTCATTTTTTGACGCTGCCCTTACTACTTTCCGTTTCCTATAGTAAAGCCAGAAAGACGGTGTCTAATGTCCTGCATTTTGTAATTAATGCTATAAAATACAGTAATTAGTAACTGAAGAAACACACTATTGCTCCACACTACACTCAAACAAAAGTCATCTACATCTCTCATTCCTGATATATATACATTTCTGATATATATATATATATCAGAAAATAAGCACTTATGGAATTATATAAATTTATAAAGAACTTTCTAGTAAGATATACTTTTTTCTGTGGTGTGTCTACACTTTGGAACTTACTATAGCAATAGTTAATACCAGTCACAACTCAGGAAGAATAATCACTGAAGTATTGGATTATTTTATAAATAAATAATGCAAAGTTCAGTCTAATTAGTATCCACAAAAGCGTTTTATTTCTTCAACTTTAAATTTCAATGTTAGCATGTGGTCTGGATAAGAAACAATGTGTTTCATACACTGTTGACAACAGACTAAATGTAGTCTATAGTACCCCACAAGACACTACCTTTACACTTGAAGGCAATGTGACTTTCTCTTCAAAACTGAACTTTTGCAGTCCACTTTCTTGGATGGGATCTGATAGAACTGTATTGTTTTCTTCCAGAACAGCACAAGCAAACGTGATTGACAATTTCTGCATCAGATACACCTTTAAGATACCAGTGCCTAAATTAAGATCAGAGACAACTACTTTCATTCTTTGAATGTTCAACCAAGATGAGGTCTGAGATATGCTTCTACAGTTACATCTAGCCTGTTACCACTAACAGAATAAAGTCTGTATAATCTAGCTAGAGTGGTGGCAGTGCCTGTATCAACCAGGAACTTGATCTTGCATCCTCGAACCCTTACTGGCACATACAATACCCCATCTATCTCTGTGAAATCTTGACTGACTACTACATCCTTCGCCATAGATGCCTCTAGGTCCATGGCGAAATCACTCTTGAGCTCCATTAATTTAACAGAGCAGGAACTGCAACATATCTTGGTTATACCCTTCCTACACCTAATATGGAATTGGATGGAATAGGCTCCTCCTTATTTCTTTCTGGGATAAAGATATTGGTAATTTTGCTTCAAAGATCACGTCAATCCATCGTAAGTTTCATCTTTCGTTCCCAGAAGGTCATTCCTGCTTCTCTTTTATCGCAATCATCATTGGAAGACCTGAGAGGTTCTAACCTCTCATGGATATCCAATATGGCTCCGCCAAGGCAATGCAAGAAACTTGTAGCAGAATACCCCAAGGTTATTCAAGCATTTCTAGATACAGGCAATAGTGGAATTTGCTTTGGCAAATGTTTGGCCATCATGATCCTCTTCCTCTCATATACTAATTCAAAATTACCACATCTTGCGCAGTTGACACAGAAATTGCCGCCATTCAGGTGTAGATATCTCAAACCCCGTTATGATGTAGCATTGTTTCATTCAGGAGATCTTTGATAAACTTATCAACGAGAATATCCTTATGATATACAGATACCATAACAGGATATGCCTTTCCAAGCAGCCATCGCAGGTGGTGTGCAAAAATGTTTAAATTTCTATTGGTTCTTCATTTCTTAATTCAGTTTTATAGATGTCAAGAGGTCGATACAACTCACGGCTGCGTTTCAGCCACGAGCTGCTTTTCCTCTTAGTGTTCATTTGAAGTCAATGCTGGCCCACAGAGACTCAGCACCAACCATTACAATGTCTGTCTCTGAGTTAAGATATTCTAGGCAGTGACCTGTCTGAAACGTTTAAAGGAGTAGTTCAAGTTTTCCTAAGCTCTACCTTTTAGAGTCAGGGGAGGTATTTTCCTGATGTAGCTTTAATACATAAAAGTGGGAATATAATAAATAGACGTGTAGATATACTATATTCGTGCAATATTTTACTGGTTGACTTTTAGCAATCTATTAAACTTCTGGTTAAACTGTAAGGTTCTTATAATGGGTTCTTGTGGATGTGCCAGTATGAATAATTGTATGCGAAACCAAGTCTCTAGTTCGAATTCAAGGGAAAAACATGTCCGTGTAACACCTTTTAAGACTTTAATGAATTCATAAATGGCATCAACAAACCACTAGAAACAGAGATTTGGTGTACTCTCTATTAACTATTACCTGTGGATTACACGTTATAATATTTGATAAACAGTTATTTGATTTAACAAT